GGCCGCTACGCACGACGGTCGTCCAGGGCATAGCAGGCGTGGCACTTTCTCGACACCATCGAGGGTGCGCAGGGGGTGGTCCCTCACCGCGGCCGCTGGCTGGCTCGAATCTGTCCTCGACGGAGGATAGAAGCTAGGAAGAGGGAGGAGGTTCAAGCAATATGGCGTTGGATGACACATAGGGGAACATTCGCGACGAGGGCTGAGAACGCAGAATTGCGCATATATTATAACTTTAAGCAAACACACAAGATTTAAGTTAAGTGTGTGGGGTTCCTCGGTAGCGTAATTTGGATGAGCTGCCAGGGAATAGTGGCTCAGTCAGAAGCTACATGCTCGAGCCTGCGTTCCGGACGCGCTGAACTCTCATCTAGAGTCAATTCCCGACAATGGGCCACCCAAGTTTCTTGTATTTCTGCGTGTCTCGGTCATCAAATGCGGCTAGATCGTCTTGCTGCGGCCGCCTACCCAGCTGAAGCTGTCGGGGAAAGAGTAGGCACGCGCCGCTCGATTCAGTCGACGTCGACGCAGACGCCACTGTCGAGCCACAGGAACTGCTTAGAGATGAAGAGCAGGACATCCTGGAAGAGCCACCGCTTCCCGGAGAGCCGACTTCGGAAGGAGCTCGGAGAAGGGCTTGGCGCAAGATGGCCCTCGGAGTGAGGATCGCCATGCGGCGACTTCATCGACAGTTCAGACACGTGCCAAGTCGTGTGCTGATTCAGCCTATGAGACTATCAACAATGTCATACATCGAAGCAGCAAGGCACCACAGGCGCGAGTCGTGAGCACAACAAGCCGCTAGCTTACACTCAGAAGGCCGCCATGCCCAATAAATTAGGTGTCGCTCGCGGCATTGGCATTGACCGTATCGGGGGCCAGGACAACAGCGGAGAAAAGGTGCAACTTCCTGAGCATCATCTGCCATTGGGACTACGTTCCAACGTGTCATATTCGTACGCCGAGGTGGCGGCGCACCATCCTGAAGGACGTGCTTCGCGGCATTCCAGCAGCACTAGTGCGCGTCGTCTGCGTGCGGACTGCGTTGGGTCGAGGACTACCCAACCGAGGTATTCTCGCAATCGGTTAAGAGCCACGGGGGCGACCTCCGTGACGCAGTAGTAGAATCCCCGGAGCAAATCGGGCGCGATGAGAGAGGCACAGCGGTCCGTGTAAGACTGCGTTCAAGGAGGTGGCTCGCGAAAAGAATGTCGCCGGACTTGATGAGGCAATGGGGGCAGCCGCAGAAGTCGACGGCGCAGAGAACGAGATGTATCGAGCGGCGGGGCTCTCACCGTCTCAATGGGTTCTCGGACGACTACCCTGCGTTCCAGGGAGTCAGTTCGACGACGGTGAAGCCTTTCACTGAGGTGCACTGGCTGACGTCGCCGAGGACAGGCTGGATGAATTCTCACGCCAAGAAGCGATCCGCGCTGCAGCACGCAAAGCAGCTGCCGAGCACGACGTCGGGAGTCGGACGGCGCGTGCTGTACTCCGAAAGGCCGCGCCTCTAGCAGGAGAGTACCAGGGTGGTGATGCGGCACGTTTCCGCAAGAGACCGACTGAGTGAGAAGTCGCGGCCATGCGGCGCACAGGATCTCGATTCGTCGGGTTTGATGGTAGGGATTTGGGTCATCGCCGAAGGGGTCCAGTTTGCGTCGCACCGATTGGCTCCGTCTGTCCACTGCAGCGGAAGCCCTTGCGCACCAATATCTTGCTCGACGCCGCGATGGCGACTCAGGTCGTTCTGCCCCTCCGGACAATCAGCAACAAGCGTTCGTGGACGAACGCCGGGAGATATCAGAGTTCATTGGACCAGAGGGTCAACAAGCAGGCGCATTGCCTGCGATCCCAGAAGATACGAGCTAAAAGCAGCAATGGAGGAGTCTCAACCCGCTGTTCAGGTAGATGACATGAGCGACGAGGCTGAACGCGATGTAATTAATCCCCCCGACGAGCAAGAAGCATCACGACCGCCGCAAGTGATCCGCGCGCCGTTGATGTCCCGCACAAAGCACGCGGACGTAGCGAGGTGATGCGCAGGAGACGCGCTGCAGGTGGACCAGCATCAGTTGCTGAAAGGACCCCAGGAGATGTTTCGCCCGACCGACTCATCACCATCACCAGTGCCCGAGCCAGCGAGTCCGGTGCTCGAGGCAAGTCATAGGACACATGCCACAGGTGCAGGTGTTGATCTACTGCAGAGCAGCACAGCTTTACTAGTTGCAGAACCACACAAATTATTCGTAGGGTTCATCAATGAGCGCACCATCAGTAAGACCCAGCCACCGAAGGAACAGAAGAGTGCCAAAAACCTTGCATACCATCGAGAATCGGAAGACGTCAAGAGAAGATTGCGACTTGCGAGGCATGGCGAATGAGGAAAGTGGGGGGGGGGGGGAGTTTTAATGCAGCAGTACCCATATACCCATTCGCAATTGCAAAAGCTCTTGGGCGAAGGATATCGCACGGTACCAACGCATTGGGCTGATATGGGTAAGAATGGGCATCTTCGGAGAGCAGGAGGCCCACCTGCTGCGCTCCAATGCAAGAGCAGACTCGTCGCGCGAGGAGATTCAGTGGAGTCGCCTGGCACTCGTTCGAATTCACCGACATGTCAACTTGATGGTTTGAGGGCGATGACTTCCTGGACTGCATGGGGCGAACAAGACTTTGACAGGTGCCGACATTGCTTCAGCATGCTTCCAGGGGCAAGAATTGAACCGACCGCCGCGGTGCCCAAGCCACCACCAGAAGGATTAGAAGGAGCCCCGGAGGGCGGAGCGCTGATCGCCCACATGCCCGCTTACGGCCCCCGTGGCGCGGGTGGAGTTTTATGGGAGATGATGCGTCAACGTTTCAGGGCGCAGATGGAGAGGGAATCCGATCATGCCAGCTCACTTCAGCATCGCAAATAAGGAGATCGCGCGCGCGTTGGGCGCCCATGTATTTATGGGCCGCGGACATCGAGAGCCAGAGTATTCAACAGCCAGTATTTGTGGAATGTGGTATTCGGGAAGTCAAATCAGGATGCGCCCATTTTTGTGGATTGGAAGTTTCCCCAGATTTGGAACCTACTGTTCGCATATGTGCGATGGGGGACATTGAGAAGACTGAGGTTGCATCCTATCCCAGGGGAAGCCTCCGCACCAGGAAATGCAACGAAGGAGAGGTATCCCAACTCAGGTCAGTCGTTGGAGCCTCATAGGGGTTACCTGACAATGCCAACCTGAGTGACTTTATCGTGTGAGGCGACTACAGATTGCTGTGGACCGCGCAAAGGTGTTCCATCTCAAGGAAGCGAATCGCGTTTTGTAAGATGCATTGCAGTGGTTAGACACTGGGCTCGTGTTCGCGGGAGAAGCACTCAGGTGGGGCAAGGATGCGATCGTTCTGACGGCTACCGACGCCAGCTGCGCAGGAGAGACCGGCATCGGTCAAGGTCGGCTTGGACCACTCAGATCCCAGAGAGGTAGATCCCACGGTTTTGCCGGACCTTGGTTTGTCGATGGGAACAGTGGTCATGTTCGCCCTATATGTCTGTCGAGTACGGTCATTAGGCGCGCGAGTAAATGCACCCTCCAGGCGCAGGAATCTGGTTTGCCTCTGGGGCGTAGACTTACGTGCGCGCTGCCATCGCTGACGCTCGCGGCATATTTGGTATCAGGCACAAGCTCCCTTCAGATTGGGAAGATGCTTCTGCCGTGGCGATGAGGCGTCTGTGATTGACAGTTGGCAGTCGCCTGGAAGAGCACTTGAATTTGCCAGCGATGGGTAAAGTGGGAGATATATGGTCCCGAGGACAAGAGGAAGCTGATATCTTACACCCTAGACTTTTCTGTGGCACTATACGGTCGATCGGCACCAACACTATGGCAGCAGGTTGTTTTACGACGGCTGTGCCCAGTGATTTCTTAGTAGACAGATTACGTACGGGAGTTTCTGATATAACACCGAACCTACAGTCGACTGTTAACATCGTGAAGAAGCAGCTGGCGAGGGCAAGACTGAACACTGCTACAGCGGATACGTAGTATCCGTAATGAGCACTATTCCGAGGGAGCTGACGGCACAGAGTGAACGCCATCCTGCCTAGGAGGTGGTACTGGGCCAATAGGCCGACTTTGACATGTTCCCTCTCGGGGGCGCTTTACCACCCCCTACTGCCCTTGACGGCCTGCGAGTTTGTGGGCGCCACGCGCTGCGCCCAGCGGGTCAGCTCGTGACCAAATTCCACGGGTGTAGTGTAATGTGTGTGCATGACACGTACGTGCGCCATTCGTTGCCGTTTGGCCCTCAAAGGGCCCCGCCCTGCCAAGACGCAACCAACCTCATACATCACAAGAGAAAGGCCATGCTTAGATTTACACAAATGCGGATATGAACGATGCGGAGGTTTGAACAGGGGGAGGAATCTCATTATTGTGTAGGTCGAGTGGGCTGTTCTTTGGCAGAGGAGGAGACTCTATGGAAGGGAGGAAGAGGGGATTAGGGAGGAGGAACACCAGGAGAGGCAGGAAGAGAAGGAGCAGGAGGACGAGGATGGGGCCCATGAGGAGGCGTCATCCAGCCGCTTGTGGTTGCAGGTAAGCGCCTGGGCCCAGCACGCCTTCGTGGCAGAGGCCCGTGCCTTGGAGGGCGCGGTGCAGGAACTGCGATCGTGGATCGTTGCCTTTGACTGGCTGCCATATTCCTCCTGTTCGCCCTCTATGTTTTCCCCCCGACCTTGGCCCCCTTCAAATCACTGTTTTAATGCCGTTTGTGTGCTGCCCAGGGTCACTACATCCTGCCCCGCAAGGGTCGCTTCGCGAAGCTCTGTCCGCCACTGAGAGAAAAAATCCGGGGAAGCTGAGGAAGTGGAGGACGAGGAGGAGGAGGAGGAGGAGGAGGAGGAGGAGGAGGAGGGGGAGGGGGAGGGGGAGGAAGAGGAGGAGGAAAAGGACAAGGGAATGGAAGGAGGGGGAGGTGGAGGATGATGCGGATCTTTGGTGCGCTGACAGGGCCACGCTGCGGCCCTGCAGATTGACCAGCATGACCAGCGATTCAAGGACACCTTCTGTGACGGCTTCTGGAAGCTGATGTTGAAGAAGGACGTTCGTGGGGAAATAACGTTGGGGACGAGGACGAGGTGGACGAGGAACAAGGGGAGGTGTATGTCGGGGAGGGAGAGCGAGGATGAGGAGGAAGTGTAGGAGGAGGAGGAGAAGGAGGAGGAGGAGGAGGAGCAGGAGGAAGGGGAGGGGGAGGGGGAGGGAGAGGAGGGAGGAACGCTGATGAGGAGGATGAACAGGAGGGCGAAGACAGAGGGAGGAAAGGGGAGGAGAGGCCTCATCGCGACACCACGACATCAGAATTGAGTTGGCTGTCCCCATCACTTACAATCGAAGTCCAGGCAGAGGCGGACATGCAGGAACAGTACGGGAGAGGAGTTTCCTCCTTCTCGTGCTCCTATTGCCTTGTCTTGACTCCTCCTCCTCCTCCTCCTCCCTCCTGCCATTCTCTCTTCCTCTTGCCTCCTCCTTACTTCAGCCCGTGGAAAGAGAGGTCGGGGAGCGGACGGCCCTCCCCGTCCTCCCGAAGGAAGAACATATGGAGGATGAGCGAGGGAGAGAGGGCAGCGCGGTTCCACGCCCCTCCGCGGCTCGGACGAGGAGCACCGATTCCACGAAGAGCCACACGACGACAATGTCGACCACGACGGCCTGCGTCGACACGAACTCCACGAACTCGCCGCGTGGCGCCTGCCTCACGCCGGCCCCGTCCGCAGTCCCCAGGCCGACGTGGCAGGCGCACCAGCAGCGCAGCCGCGGGCGGGCGGGCCAGGTGAAGGCTGCGCCCGGCGAGGCGACGTGCGACGCGCAGTCCACCGCGGCCGAGGCTCGGGCTCGTGTGTCCGCGCCACGCCCGTCTGTTGCAACAGGGCACGCGTCGCCCGCCCAGCTGCCGACCCGCGGCGCGGCCAGTGCCGCGCGAGCGCCCCAGGCGGCGGGCGAGCGCCCAGCGAGTCGAACGGCAGGCCATGCACGGCCGCGAGTCCACCTCCGACGCGGGCGTTTCGGAGTCGGCGGCGTCTGTCAAGCAGTGGCGAAGCGTCCTGGCTCGCCTATAGCCCTACCAAACAATATTCTATGAACCTGTTGTGGCTTCCACAACATGTTTTTCATAACATTTCTGGCGGAGTCTGTCTTGTTGTAGCACGTCGGGTTTATGTTCTAAGAACATTGTTTTTGGTCTTAGAACATTTTTGGGTTCTAAGAACATCTCGTGGTATGACTATTGGAATGCCGGGACGGTCGGTCCCTGCTCAGGTCTGCGTCGATGCGGGAGGCATATGCGGCGCCGACCCGGCGGAGCGAGCCTGAGCAGAGCCGATTGAAGAGCAAGAGAGAAGGAGGAGGCTGAGGCGGAGGCGGAGGAGGAGATGAAGAGGAGGATCATGAGAAGGAGCAGGATGATCATGAGGAGGAGGAGGAGGAGGAGGAGGAGGAGGAGGAGGAGGAGGGAGGAGGAGGGGGAATAGGGGGGGGAGGAGGAGGAGAAGGAGGAGGAGGAGGAGGAGAGGAGGAGGAGGAGGAGGAGGAGGAGGAAGGAGGGGGAATAGGACGAGGAGGAAGAAGAGGAGGAGGAGGAGGAGGAGAAGGAGGAGGTGGAGGAGGAGGAGGAAAGTGGAAGCCACAGGGAAGGCTAACGTAAAAAGTAGAAGGAGAAAGGAGGAGATGGAGGTGGAGGTGGAGGTGGAGGTGGTGGAGGAGGAGGAGGATGAGGAGGAGAAGGAGGAGGTAGGAGGAGGAGGAGGAGGAGGAGGAGGAGGTAGGAGGAGGAGGAGGAGGAGGAGGTGGAGGAGGACGAGATGCAGGAGGACGAGGAGGAGGAGGAGGAGGAGGAGGAGGAGGGAGGTGGAGGAGGAGGAGGAGGAGGAGGAGGCGGAGGAGTAGGAGGAGGTGAGGAGGAGGAGGAGAGGAGGAGGAGGGGAGGAGAGGAGAGGAGAGGAGGAGGAGGAGGAGAAGGAGGAGGAGGGGAGGAGGAGAGGAGGAGGAGGAGGGGAGGGAGGAGGGAGGGAGGGATGGAGTTAGGCTGGGAGGGAGGGAGAGATGGAGGTAGGTAGGTAGGTAGGGGAGGAGGGAGGGAGGGAGGGAGGGAGGGAGGGAGGGAGGAGGAGGAGGAGGAGGAGAGGAGGAGGAGGAGGAGGAGGAGGAGGAGGAGGAGGAGGGGGAACAGGTATGAGGAGG